CAGTGTCCTTTGAACGAAATCTTAGTTGTGCATCTCACAGTACCCCGAGTTACATTTGCAATTTTAGTCGTCAAATATTTAACAATTTTATTACTTCGCTTGCTTCTATTCTGCCAACTTTAAATTTCGCGTAGCGCAGTTAACGTCAATTCTATCTTCAAAACTTATCCATTACCATTTACAATTTTACCACGTTGCGATTGCATTTTGATACTTGAAAGTTTCAAACAAAAATGATTCTTAAAATCCTCCAAATTCGCGCAATTTTCTGTAACTTGACGAGCTTGGAATTATATCTAATAACTCTGAGAAATGAAATATTAATTTAAAAGGAAGAATTAAAAAATTCATTCTCTAGAGTAATACGCGTTCTCGTTTAAAGCAACGGTATTGTCATAAATTGGAAAAGAAGAGATTGAAGTCTTCGAACATTAAAAATTCGCGGATACGAATCGATGGAGCGAAAGAAATGGTCCCTTTGCAAATTATCGACAAGGCAGCTCTTCGACTTTCGAGATGCAGCCACCGCGTAAATTTATGTTCAACGAGAGCATAAAGGTGTGACAAGAAATGAGTTCCGAGACCTTGACTTAAATGGAGGCGAGCGTACGGGTAGTTGCTGCTATTCGTTGATTATTTATTCAAAGGGTATTACGGGCTCCACTAATTATAATTTATATCGTGGCAGTAACAACATCACATCGACCATACAGCTTCAGATGTGGCACCATGCACGGGAAAGTGCTAGGAAAACTTTAGAAACGTCGTGTATGGTAGTTGCACCTTTATTTATAAATATCTCCACGCATTCTGCAAATGAATTTCGCGCATTAAATTGAAATAATTCCTGTTAAGATAGTGGATAACGATTTTTACTCGTTCATAGCTATCTCTATATCGATTTTCATAAAAAGTAGTATCACGTGCATTAAATTGTGTTTAACATCGTGTCTCTTTTACATATAAAATTCTATCGATACGATCAGGTTGATATCTCTAATTTCTCTCCTCTAATGTCCCTTTATTCAACGCTATTAGCTCGAATAAGTGAAAGAAATATGCAATTCACCTTCACGCGTCCAAATTGCGCAGGGAAGTCCCAAATAAAGGAAAAATTAAATTCTTTAAAAAATAAAGTCGAGTAACAATAAAAGAAATACAATTCTTCCCAAAATACACTAATCTTCCGCACTTCCAAGTGATTCAAGAAATCAAAACTCAGGCAACAAATAAACACGCGAATTCTTTCAAGGATAAATGATATTCCTAAAAATTCAATTCCCAGATAATAAAGGAAAATAATTTTTCCAAACTCGCGTGATCTTCCGCACCTTCGAGTTACCCAAAAACTGAGATTCCAAATAAGAAGAAAACGGCCGAAACGATCGTCGATCTCCCTAATCCAACTCCTAAGGTTTCACCGTCGATCATCTGCCTAATCTTGCACGCGCGACGCGACAGGAAATATTCGAAAAGGTAATGGAAATGGAAGGGAAATGGAACAAATTCGCCTTCGGCTGGAAACACGAAAATCAGTCTCGGCATGTAGCTTGATTTCGTTCGAGCCTCACATAGGTAGACACAGAGAATGTGACAGGCACGAGAGCCAGGAGCATGTACAGCCAATCAGCGGTTTTTCCTAGACTGGCTGTCATTCAGTCAGCCAAGTGGAAGGACAGGAACGGCTTGTGGTTCGGCTTTGGCATTATTCATTATGCAGCTCACAACACGCCGTCACCTGCCACCGCAGTCCTACATACACAGTCAGCCTGCCATTGACCACACACGTGTACCTATGTCTACGTACGTGTATCTGCTATATTAGCTACATCTAGCAAGAATATTCCTTTTGTTTCCCTTTTTCGACCACCGTTCTGACTCCCACTCACACGAGTCACCGTGGCACACCGTATTTCCGCGAAAAATCGGTCAAAAATCAAAATGACGGTGTCCATCGTCGTGGAACGACGCTTTTAGAATAACTGCTGGATGGCAGGTGATCACGAAGGTTCGATTCGTGTGCTTGTTGGGTAAGCGCATAGAGAAGTTCATGATGCCGATCTTCTCCTTTGTGTGGGATACATTTACATCGCGACAGTCTTGGCTGGACTTTGGAAAAGCCATTAGACCGAGACTGCGTGTATTTAAAGATTCGAGGGAATATTTGGAACGAATACCTGAGGTGGAAATAGAAATATTAACCACGATACGTCTTACCGCCTCGAACGCTGGTTAAAGATACGTAAAATGAGAAACGTTCGTATGGTAATAAATTATCTATAAATATTAAAAGTGGAACAAGCACCTGGTACGAAAAGTGTAAAAATCTTCAACAGGGTTAACGTGGAATAGGATATAATTAAAAAAGGATATTAACGAGGTACGAATGTTATTTGCTTGGTATTTTGTAGATACATGTGTATCTATTTCTCATAGTATACTGAAATCGTTGTTATCTTCGCGTTTGTCAAACCTGATTAAAGATTGTAACAAATTTATGAACCTAATCGATTAGAGACTTGGTATAAATTGGATATGTTATTTTGTAATTTTGTGTGTACGATATTTTGCGTGTGTGACGAGAATACTTGAAAAGTATCTCAGGAATGTGCGATATGTGCTGATAACTATTAAGATAAACAAAGTCGTGGATTTTGCTTTAAGACAATATAACGAAACTTGACGTAATTATGGATTCTACATTTTACCATTTCGCAAAAGTGAGTTTACATTTTTGATGTAAGAATTAAATAACTGTATTAGAGCAAAACGTATCCTTCATTTTCTATCTTACACTCGTCTTACTAGCAACATATTCTTTCACTTAAAAGCCATTTACATTCGAAAGCTATTCAATTTCCCTTTGATTCGCAAAGTAATTCAATATTTTCTTCTTTCTCGCCGATTATCCGAATAGATTTGTCTCCCGACCTACTTGGACACTCAATTATATCTGTAATAAACCTAATTGACGAGTGAATCAAATTTTTAAATGTATTCCTTCCTTGCACCAGACTGCACCGGACTACTAACACCTTCTAAATTCAGCCACAAGAACTCAACCAGCTATCCAACATACCCAGAATCCTTCCTAGACGACCATTGAACCATCTTCCACTGCTTTTTCAGCAATAGCGATAGATCACCACTGATGGTAGCAGCCGAAATTGACTAAATCAGAATTTTCCATAAGCTGATTGACGTATGAAAGAATGGTAAGCCGTGGAACGGATAGGTGGCCCGGGGGGAGGTTGGATAATAGGCAGAAGCACCGGTCGGATCGGTAGCTTGCAGCACTGACAGCGCCTCCCTGTTCCGATTCCAGTGGCAATATGTTTATACTAGACTGATAATGAATTCATGCTGTGCACGGGGCAAGCTACTTGTGAACAGGTTGCAGCAGCATTACAGATCGGATCGCGCAGATGCTCTTTTGTCGGCAGATGAGTGAGAGCCCAGGGGATGGCGGTGGATGATATCAGATCTGTCGGGGTCGAGGCAAGAATCGAGGGAATCGAAGGCTTGCTGCGTGTGTTCTGTAGGTGTGGCTGGATACGTGGAACGTGGACGCGCGTGTAGACGCGACCGGGAGATCCCACGGGTCCCAACGGGCAACCATCCTCGGGGCTTAATGACAATTCTGACTGTTCCATACCGCTCAAACGCTCGTTTGCGCTTGTTTGTATGTATTATGATCATTTGTAGTTAAGCCATGGTACTCGAGCTTTGACCCGATCGCGCGAATCGATCCTTCGCGATCAACCCCGAAGGTGGCACAGAGAGTGTACACATGTACGTATGTAGGTTGTCGTGCCGAATGAAACAATACTTTTCGCGTGAACACGAAATGGAACTGCTTTGTCGGTCTTCGCAGGAAATGCTCATTCGTGGAATGTCGCATCAGCCACCAGGTCGCAGGCTGAGCTCCGATAGCGTTCCATGTGCTCATGGGGATATAGTACATATCGATCAGCGTTGTCGATATACGCGGTTTGTAGGAATTTTTGTTTCGCGTTCGAGGCTCCTTATTTGAAACGCGAGGGGTTGAAGAATTCGATGAATCGAATGGGATAGTTTAGTCGATTTGCACGTGTCTGTTAGGCTGGTACAGGTGATTCGGTAGATCAGAGTGTGGCTTTGAAGTAGCGAATAAATAAATGATGTTGGAAAATTGTAGATAAAGGACATGAAGATGATGATAATGTAAACGTAATAATAGAAACTAATGTAAATAACATCGATACTCCAGTATGGAAATACTTGGCGGATAATTTAGTGGTAACGATAATATAAATTTTTCATTCTGTTAATTTTAGGATTGAAAATGCATAGGTAACAAATTAAACGAATTTTTAATTGAATCGAATATTGTACAATGAATATTCCATGATATCAATGATGTTTTTAATTATTACTTTTGAGAAATATTTCAAAAAGTATGAAGTGTCAATAAAAATATTTCTGACTTTTTTTTAATTTAGGGAACTATAAGAGATATTGATAATAATATTGAATTTTCAAGCTAAATAATATTGGTTTCCGGTGTGAAATTTTTATAAAATATTATATAGTCAAGAAATTCCTTTATTATCAATAGTGGATACTTTATTAACTATTAGAAAAAAATAACTTAACTATGTTTTCATAACATTTGTCGGTAACAAGTACGAATTACCATTAATAGGTAAGATAAATTGTACTATCGTATCGTAGATGAGGTATAGAAACAGACGACTTCGTCTGTGATTGTATATTTACTTATCGAACTACAAAACAAATTATGAACAAAGTCATAAACCTATGATGTATAAGAAAAAGCTAAATTGAAATTTTTTTCTCAAATTATGCAACTGTTAAATATGTACTGACTATTATCGTTAACTTTTACTATACGCAATTGTTTGTCCAATAGAATTTAAAATTTCCAGCCTTATTACGTACATCCAATAGCTAAATTTATCTACTCTCGATACATGTTATCAGTTTATGATAACACCTGTTAAATAATTTTCCATGTTTTATCGTAATCACCGAATATAAATTTTGCGTCACAATTATATTTTAACAAATTGAATCCTAAGATGCATTAATGCACGAAATTAATATTTAATTGAGATTAAGTCTTTCTTCGTATAGTTGTCGTAAGTCTTCTTTAGATAAGTGATCCCATTTGTGGTAAACTTCTTCATTCGTCGGAAGTACGTCTTTTACGATATCTAAATATTTTTCCATTGGACAAATTTCCTCATTTCCAGGAATTTTATAAACTTTCAATTCTTCGGTAGCTCCACTCCAATACAGCATCTAAAAAATCAAAGTAATATAATGTAAATAATTACGTATTTAATAATTGAAATTAATTAAGTATTAATAGAGAGCATAATGCTTTACTCGAACAAAATGAAATATCATTTTAAAAAAAAATTATTCATGCAAATAATCATGTATAATCAACTATGCCACGAATAATTACCGATATGGTACGAATACATTATACGAATAGGCTATTATCTTAATACCGCTTGTTTTACGAATTTCTGTTTCTTCTAGTTCGTGCAATTATTTAAGAATAAACTGTTAATACTGAAAGTACACTATAAATGAATACGTTTAATATTACTACACGAAGAGATGTATTAATAGATTATCGCGAATGGTTACCCTGATGTAGCTCTTGCCAGCTGAGTCCCTTAATTTTTCAAGTATAATCGCGCATCCGTATGGTGGCAGCTCAGGTTCGGGTAAATTTAGTGCTTTCGCAACAGCAGCGATATTCACTTCGTGTCCACTATACAAGTAAATTTTTCTTGGCCTGTCGCGCTTTTCGTTAATCTTGATATTGTCGATGAATCTTTTAATTAACGCGCCACCATTCAATCGTTTCAAAAACGGTGTGTACGAACGTATATCGTACTCGATCTTCACAGTGTCTTGGAGCTTCTTGTAAACCTCATCGGTACACCATTCTGGCAGAGGCAGATTCATGGCTTTCTACGAAACATATAAATTATTAATTTAAAAACTGTATTATATATTTCGTATTAAAAGTGAATTAAATTTTTTATTATTTTTATTTTAATCGTAGCGCATATTTCCTATAAAATTTTATAAATTCGTATTACGATAAATAATTTCTTGTACCTTTGCTGCGAGTTGATTGTACATTTCATACGATTCGTTTGTCGCAGTTACATTCTTGCCAGTCTTTTCGAAAAGAAGATCAAATAAATCTTTGTAAGGCGATACTCTTTTTAGAATTTCCTCCGTATTTCTCACTTCTTTAATAGCATTTATGTATCTGTAAACGGTAAAATATAGATCTTTTAATATCCATTAAATCAATATTTAATTGTCGTATATTTAATAATTTTACATAGGTGTACCTTTTCCTCCGCAATAAACACGAATAAATTCGTTATCGAGTGAATCACTTACAATGGAGACAAGTCGGGTTTCATCAGATCATCCACTTTCTCTGGCATATAATACGTTGGTATGGGTATCCATGACAAATTTTCATTCCACTTTTGCGTTGGAGCCGGGTGATAAAGAGCAGCTAACACCAATTGAAGGGACATTTTCGTTCGATCGTGATCCGAACTGAAGGCATATACATCACTTGGGTAATAAATATCACCTAAGAATTTATTATAGCGATCCCTTAACATTTTTCCAATCCGATACTCTCTCATTTTTCCTTCCTAAAAATAAATTACATCGATATTTTCATCTATATTTTCTTTCACGGCGTAACATTCGCATCCAATAATTATTACTTACGTTTGTCAACTGAGCAAGGCCCCAAGGTTCATAAATTGAAACGTTGGACAAATCATTCGGCGACAGTTCTTTTTCACGTGGTGTTCTTTCTCCATGTCTAAACAGCTGGTCAAAGTTTGAAAATTATAGATAACAAATATCGAAATTTGTAATAAAAAAACTTTCTCCGTTAATTTTTATATTATCGATCTTTTATTAATTAATATATTAATATCATATTTTGATTATTGATATTCCATTTTCTTATAATAATTTTATAACAGAAATACTATAATTTATATCAACGAAATAAACATTCGAGTCACCGATAAATTACTGATATTTAATGACGATTAAAATATTAATAATTTTAATTATTAATCATTAAAGATATTAATAATCTATTAATAAATTCGAAATCTGAAATAGACAAATTTTTAAGTAAACTCTAAGATATGTTCTGATTAAATTTGTTATCCTTTATAAAATAAATATTGAAAGTGAATTTAAATGAAAAAAATAATACTCACTACTTGTACCAGCTCCAAGTTGAGTTCCGTGTTTGCCAGTTGCAAGTATAAACCTAACACAAGAATGATTAATGTTAGAACTATTGTTAAACGAGACATGTTAGGCAGGAAAAAGAATGAATAAGATGAGAACTTTAAAATAACTGTGCTTGAACTGTTTGACTGAAGAACCGTAACTGTATGCGATATCTTAAAGCAACACTGGACATGCTACATACTCATGACCTTTACCGTTCCAGTTCGTCCACGCAACTGTTACATCAAGTCACGCCGTAATTGCCGTAAAAAGAAATAATATAGAAAGGTTTTAAATTAAGAAAAAATTGATCGTATCTCGTTATCCTTTTAGACAGTAATTACATTTTTCTTATAATTTTTCTTTATGCGTATTGGTAAAATTGTGAAATACGTGATAGAAAAATTTATTGTTTGTGTAGACAATTTAACTTAATGAAAGTATATCAAAAAGGAAATATAACAGTATATCAAATATATATTATCCATAAAAATGTATTTAAAAAATTATCGATGAATGCGAGAACTTATACATTTAGATAAAAAGATAAAAGTATTATTTACTTTAACTAGAATGAACAGATGATATCGTTATCGTTCATAGATATTATGAAATGAATTGATAAAGGTATCTTCAAAAATTTCTTTTCCTTTTTAGATAATTTCAAAAATATACTGCGTGAAATAAAAAATTAGCAAATAAAAATAACGATTACAAAATGTACAAAATGTAACATGTTATGTAATATATTCGTTCATTGAATTTCTTATAACAAGTTAGCTAACAAACTTAATCATAAATCTTATTATTTGTGAAAAAAAATAAGTCTAAAAGTCTAAAATGATAATTACTTTATAGAGATAAGAAGTATATCAAATAACATTTGCTTTAAAATTCTTTCGAAAATATACGGATATTCAAATTAATCCGCGGCAACCGCAGTGAATGTATTTATATGAATGCTGTATATGTAGTCTGTTATGTGAACTCGACATCACCATCTAGATTCTGTATCCACCAAGGTAGAGAAGAAAAATTATATAATCAACTACTGAGTGAAACGTAATGTGAAGTAGAAAAAAAGATACGATTGTAGAAATATAATGATACGTTTAAATTTTACTTACTCATATCAAACAGTGTCTTTTATTTTTATAGGCGAAGTGCAGTAAGATACCGTTACTAGATACATACAGTTAGAACTATTTGGTAATTATTAGAGAAGCACGTTGTCACGAGGAATAATCCGTTAAGCTACTAATATAATCCATGCTCCACATTACCACATCGCTACGCAATTGACAATGGATAGTAACAAATATATAAAAAATCCTGCGAAAGATTGAAATTATTTAAATAAAGCTTCAGTGTTAAAAATATTATTTAACGTAAAGAAAATATTATAAGTATAAAAAATTGAAATTTACATATAAATATTATGTAATTAATTATTATATTAGCTCGTATTTTTTTATTAAGAATGACAATAAGTTAATAGTATGTCAGATAATATTTTCTTGTATTACTCTTTTTTAGAGATAATACCAGCATAAGTTATTATATAATAAAATAAATATTTACAATCAGTAGATTAAAAATAAATAGAAAATTTTAAAAATTCGTATTTAATTTAATAAAAAATAAATCTGTTATCACGTCCCTTATTTTGACAATTTGAACTTTGTTTGCCTAGCCAAATAAACTCGCAATATATAAACAAAGTATACATAATAGTAAATGTTTTCAAATTTTCTTTATAACTGCTATACTTAAATTTTGTGTACATTTTTCGTAAAATAAATAAATAAATATTTATACATTTTATTTTTGTAATCTTTTTATACAATAAAAACATTTTTATTTTCTAATATGTGAATATGAATAGTGATAAATCTTATTTTCATGTTATTTCTATATAATTTGTGTAATTTTTAATATTACCTCTAATATTATATGCATGTAAAGATTAAAATATGTAATATTTTTATACGAGTAGATTTCGTGATTGTTATAAAACACTTTATAAATTGTGATATGATATATTTTATGTAAATCTAATTTGGCGCGTTTTACAAGCATATACTTTTTCAAAGCGCCACCTTTTAATGATATTCTGAATTTTTCTTAGTCAAATGTGTTCTTATAATTAACGTATTCTTTTACATTACAAGTGCAAATTGGAAAAAGAATTATATAGATTAATTATTTTCAATAATTAAAAGATATGTGTATACAGTGTTGTAAGCTACGAAATATGGTTAAGTGTCATTAAAATAAACTTTTAAATATGTCATTTAGTACAATGCATAGTATTTATTTATTTATTTATTTATTTTTTTATGCATTACTACTTTTATTATCTTTCTAAATTTATATTTCATCTCAAGATTAAATCACATTGAAATAATATAAATTGTAATATACAAATTTTTGATCGAAATATATCTTTACAATAGTTTTAAAATTAATACTATTTGCACATAAAATTCTGTATTCGTATAAAATTACATATTACAATAATTCATTTTAGCGCGGAATAGAATTGAACGATTTCATCGGTATGCCATCTGTCGGCAATAACGAACCTAACGACAGTTGAAATTTGAATAGTGCGGAGAATTTTACATTTCGAGTGAAAAGTGAAATATTTGAATTATTTATGTGATTAAAGTAACTTTTTTCTGTACATTGTTTATAAAAGTTTTGTATCTTTATGGTCTGTTAAGTGTATATGTATTCAATAGACTTTTACCACGGGAAAATGAAAAATTCCATTTGGCGATTGTTAAGGTAGGAATTTTGTATCTAACTTACATTGTTCAAATATCCTCAATTTTACAATGCACTTATTTAATTAAAATTAGTTGATTATAGATTAGATATCTCTAAATTAGTTACTTATTTTATTAAATATGTTAAATAATTATACTTTTATTCCAATTTGAATAAATATATTATTAAAATTTAAAAAGGATTAATGTGAGGTAGACAAATTTCTAAACGTTAGAAAAGAAATGTGTTCGTCCATTATGGCGTCACTGTTACCACATATAGCTATGTAATTTATAGCAACAAATTAGTTCGTTTTTTTATACCGTGCAATTTTTAGTACAAAATCGTAGTACATATATACAAATATGTACCGATTTTAATTTAGGTAGATATGTAAATATTCTCATTTATTAGATATTAAGTATATATTGGATATTAAAATTTACAAATAATTGTGTAAAATATATCTTAAATAAATTTTCATAATTTTAAAATAAAGAATTTAATTTTACATAAAAAAGAGAATATCTTTTATTAGTTACTCTTTTTTTAATATCAAGTAAAATAAAGGTGATAGTATTAGGAAAAAATTCATTAACAATAAAAAAGGTTAATAATGTTTAAAATCATAGAACTATTAAATATTTTTGTTAAACAAGTTAAGTTTTCAAATATTTACATTTCTCATAAGCTATTTTATATATTATAAAATATACAGAACAATAGAATATATATATATTCGCATGAGAATAAATTTATTTTATACAAATATTGTACTTACGTTTTCGCATACAACATAGCGTCGCGCGTAAAACTGCGTGTTGAATTTTTCTGTACGAACACAACAGCATAGATCACGTTTTAAAAGTCGTAGTACACTAATTTAAATATTAATTTGATATTATATTTACGAAACGCGATTAGCAAAGCAAAAGATCAATTTATAGTAACTAATTTAATTGAAAATATCTTTCATACACTTTCATTGCAAAATCAAGAATACAATTTTCTAACCTCTACTACAGAGTTCATATTAGTTAGGTACATAAATCATTGAAGATTCATTTTTTCTTTTCGGTACAACGATAAGATATGTTTACATATACAATATCTATATACACAGTAAGAAATGCATGTCGTTTTATATAATATAATTATGCTGAGTTACATGTAGAAATATAATTTATGAATAAGAAACATGAGATTGTGAAAGTATACTTTTTTTCTATTGTGTATGATAATTATAATATTATAAAAAATGTCCGCGAAAAGAAAACCAGAAACTCAAGTACCAGCTGAAGAAAGTGATTTATTATCAATTAGACCACTTGGAGCTGGACAAGAAGTAGGAAGATCATGTATCATGTTAGAATTTAAAGGCAAAAAAATTATGTTAGACTGTGGTATTCATCCTGGTTTATCTGGCATGGATGCATTACCATTTGTGGACTTAGTAGAAGCAGATGAAATAGATTTACTGTTAATTTCACATTTTCATTTGGACCATTGTGGAGCTTTACCATGGTTTCTACAAAAGACCAGTTTTAAAGGACGATGTTTTATGACTCATGCTACGAAAGCTATTTATCGTTGGCTCTTATCTGATTATATTAAAGTTAGTAATATTGCAACTGAACAAATGTTGTATACTGAATCTGATTTAGAAACTAGTATGGATAAAATAGAAACTATCAATTTCCATGAAGAAAAGGATGTGTTTGGAATAAAATTTTGGGCTTATAATGCTGGTCATGTATTAGGTGCTGCTATGTTTATGATAGAAATAGCAGGTGTTAAAATTTTATATACTGGAGATTTTAGTCGGCAAGAAGACAGACATTTGATGGCTGCAGAAATTCCAAACATTCACCCTGATGTTTTAATTACTGAATCTACCTATGGTACACATATACATGAAAAAAGAGAAGATCGTGAAGGAAGATTTACTAATCTAGTTCATGAAATTGTTAATAGAGGTGGAAGATGCTTAATACCAGTGTTTGCATTAGGTAGAGCACAAGAGCTTCTTCTTATTTTGGATGAATATTGGAGTCAACATCCTGAACTCCATGAAATTCCAATATATTATGCTTCTTCTTTAGCAAAGAAGTGTATGGCTGTTTATCAAACTTATGTAAATGCAATGAATGATAAAATTAGGAGACAAATAGCTATCAATAATCCTTTTGTATTCAAACATATTTCTAATTTGAAAGGTATTGATCATTTTGAAGATATTGGACCATGTGTAGTAATGGCTTCTCCTGGTATGATGCAAAGTGGTCTATCAAGAGAATTATTTGAATCTTGGTGTACAGATGCAAAAAATGGAGTTATAATTGCTGGTTATTGTGTGGAGGGAACATTGGCAAAGACTATTTTATCAGAACCTGAAGAAATTACAACCATGTCTGGACAAAAGTTACCATTAAAAATGTCCGTTGACTATATATCATTTTCAGCACATACAGACTATCAACAAACTTCAGAATTTATACGTATTCTAAAGCCACCACATGTAGTACTTGTGCATGGAGAACAAAATGAAATGGGTAGATTAAAAGCTGCATTGCAAAGAGAATATGAAGATGATCCCAATACAACAATGGAGATACACAATCCTAGAAATACTGTTGCTATAGAGTTATATTTTAGAGGAGAAAAAACTGCTAAAGTAATGGGTACATTAGCAATGGAAACACCAAAACCAGGACAAACATTATCTGGAGTTTTAGTTAAAAGAAACTTCAATTATCATATGCTAGCACCTTGTGACTTATCAAAATACACAGATATGAGCATGAGTCAAGTTATTCAGAGACAGAGTGTATACTTCTCAGCATCATTACCAGTACTAAAACATCTCTTAACTCAAATTGCAGGAAATTTGGAAGTTGTAGATGATAAAAAGTTACGTGTTTTTAAAAATATTGATGTAACAATTGATGGAAAAATTGTTACTATGGAATGGGTTGCAACACCTGTAAATGATATGTATGCAGATTCTGTTTTAACTGCAATATTACAAGCTGAGATGATGGAACAACCACCTAAAATATTACCTGCACCTACAAAAATGGATCGAATGCATTTTAAAGAATGTTTGATAGAGATGCTTCAAGAAATGTTTGGTGAGGACTCTGTTCCCAAGATTTTTAAAGGAGAAAAACTGTATGTAACAGTTGATGGAAAGAAAGCACACATAGATTTATTAAATTTAGAAGTAACTAGCAAGGAAGATGAAACTTTTCAACAAATAGTACAAACAGCAGTAACAAAATTACATCAATCACTTGCACCTCCCTGTGATACAATTTAAAAAATATTTTTTTTAATTTACAAATAGAATATAATACTTCTAAAGTTATTATTACATATATTAATAGAAAATGTTGAATAACGAAGATTTTTATTTATTGTATGATGGTATTACACAATACAATCACCTATTCATTTTTATAACAATAATAACAATGATAAGTAGACATATAAAAACTAAATTATTATTTAAATATTTTTTATATAATATCCTTGAATTTTGTATCGTATGGATTAATACTTTTTATAATATTGTTAAAATATCAAAATTGTTTAAAAATTTATATTTAGTAAATAGTGTCTTATTACAAATATCTTTCATATTTAAATCCTATACCTAAGATAACTCCATTTAATTTTCTGAGGTACAATCATTAAGTATAAATTATTTATTTCATTTAAATATACAATTCATTTCATTATGTAAAAATTCACAATATTATACAATAACAATTACTTTTTAGAGTAAAAATCTGGAACATGATTGATTACATTTGGGTGTAAAAAAATATATAAATATAAAAAGATATTTAAAACATGAAGGTTTTTTCTATAAAAATAAGTTAATAGATTAATAAATAGTATATTCAGAAAGATCGCCCCATGCTGATCCAACTTTAAGTTTTACAGGTAATGGTACTGCAAGATGACACACTTGCTCCATTGATTCCTTTACTATTGTTGCAACTTGTTTTAGGTCTTGTATGTATACCTAAGTTGAAAAAACGATGAGAAAAATTTTGAATTCCTCCTATGGAATTATAAAATTATTCAAATTATACATAATTGCTAAATACCTCATACAAAAGTTCATCATGGAGCTGTAATACCAAGTAGCCACCCCTTTGCTGCACTTCTCTATTATTACTTCTTAATTTACGAGTAGAATTAACAGTGGGCATAATGATTGTAGATGTTGGAAATTCAGATCGCATTCGTTCTTCAATCTTCACCATTGCCTTCTTAGCAATATCAGCTGCAGATCCTTGAATTTTAGTATTTACTGCTTGACGTTCTGCTTGTGCTGTACAATAAGAAAAATTACAATAATTATTTTTCTACTTATTTAAACATATTTTTGAAAAAAGTATATAATATTCAAAAACATTTACATTTCTCCACTGAGTTTGTACTTGTTAATCCAGGAAACATTCTACGTCTTTTCAAAAGCGTTGTTATATAACCATTTGCACGTGCTTCTTCCAGTACATTATTCAACCATTTAGATATACCTGGATATGCATTCATAAAAGATTCTAAAAATTCTTTGGCTTTAACTTCGTCTATCGATAAGTTTTCGGCAAGTGTTTTGACTCCCATACCATAAATCATACCATAACACAATTGCTTTGTATGCTGACGCATTTTATCGTCGACCTTTTGATGAGTTAACATTAAAATTATGTTTAGGGATACGTTGTATTTCTAGTATTTTATATACCTGATCTTCAGAAATGTGATTCCAATTTGCTGCAATATTCTTAAAAATATCACCTGGTTTCCGCATAATATCACACAATGTTGCATCTCTTGAAAAATGTGCTAATATTCTAAATTCAAGTTGACAATAGTCCGCTGATAATAGAACATTATCTATGGAAGGTATAAATGCCATTCGAACACTTATTGTAAAGCTATTATCTTCAGAACTAAAATCCCTTGGCACATTTTGTAAATTTGGTTCATGCATTGAAATTCTACCTGTTAATGTACACGTAACGCTGTTACTATGAATACGAGAACTGTGTTGAGCCAAACATAATATTGGATGAATAATCTAGAATTTTAATTTAATACATTATTGTATTTTTAAGATATATATATATTTTTTTTTGTTTCTTTTTTTAATGTAGACATACTTTAGATTGAGTTGCATTTAATTTACGCCATGACATTACAAGTTTAGATATTGGATGATCAGATTGTCCTAATACAGTTTTGTTAACACTGATCTTTTTGCCTTTGTATAAACCTAAAATCTATATAAATAAGAATTTAGCAAATAAATTCAAGAAATTATATCTATCTCACTTAAACAAAAAAAATATATATACTTGTCCAATTTCTTTAGACGAGGAAAAGTTAAATCTTTTTCCACATAATGTATGTGCTCGTTCTTCCAATGATTTCATTTCTTCGTGAATAACAGCAGACAAATCTCGTAATGATTTTAAAGATACACCTAACCCACTTAGTTCCATACAAGCTAGTAAGGTCACTATTTTCATTTCAACATCTAAAAATATATTTAAAATTTTTTTTAAGAACAGAAGAAAATAATAGATTAATTGAATAGATTAAAATTGAATATTTGTAGTATTTATACCTTTAAATGTATATAGTAATGTTGGACTTAGTTCTTCTAATTTGTTTAACAGCTTATCTGTTATATGCCATGTAAGTACAGCTTCTGCAGATGCTCTAAGTTCTCCTGGTTTTGAACTTTTGATATGCAATCCAGGTCCTATATCATAACACGTACCTATCCTTTGAGTTATGAAAGACCCTTGTGGAAAATATTCTTTCACCTATTAATTAATTTTTATATTCATTATAAAATAATGTTCCTAATAAAAATAAATATTACTTACCATTTCATTAAAAGTTTTTTCATAAATGTTACCATCATATAACCAACTTGCTACTTTTGGGTCTAAAAATTTGCAATTTGCTGTAATACCACAACATTCATATAAGGTTTTATATATTTCTTTAGTCGCAAAACATTTTGCATACAAAAGAGTATTAGAAAGTAATTCTTTAAATAATTTCATTTGTTCCTTGGCTGGAACTTTCAGATCTGAAAATTTATTATTTTATGAATCAATTAGAAGATAAATTAATATTAATATAATTTTTAATACCTGGTTCATTAGAAAAAGAGATATAATACGCAATATTATTTTCCCAAGCAATAGAAGCACCACACAATTTTTTATCTGCATATACGTAATTTTCCACTTTTTTAGATTTCTTTTTTCTTTCAGTAATAACAGAGCCAATGATCTTAGAACCAATATTATTTGCTTCATTATTATATAGTTCACAATTTAAAGCTAAAGCAACATATCGTTTTTGCATTACTTCACGTCTAAATAAATTAAATGTACCTCTATCACTCCCAACTTTTATGACATTTAATGTATTCCAATTAGTTATTTCATTTATGGTATCTACGAGTTCATTTGTTCGTACACTTGTCTTAGGACTATTTCTAGTTTTTCTTAGACTAATCTTAGATTTTTGTAAAATCTTTGTTGATTTTATGGGTGTATCTTCATCTGAATTCGAAATTACACTACCTGTACTACATTTTTTATTACATACAACATTTTGTGCAAGTATTTCATTCAATTTTGATCTAATTTGACATTTTTCAATTTCTATTACGTTTGGAATAGTATTTACATAGCTTTTATACATCTTCTGTTTCTTTTCAGAGTCTAATTTATTTAGTATCTTGTTATTTGTAGTAGGTGAATTTATATTCTGGGAAGCAATAACAATATCATCTGAATCTGATTTATTTGAGTCTATTGATGGTACACGATTTTTATTAAAAACGAAAACACCCGCTACAGGTGATTTTACCACGGATACATCCGCTAATCTGCGTTTCTGTGATACTTTTTTCAAATCAACTGGAGTACTTGTAGTTTTTTCAAATTTCATTTCGTATTTTTTATTTGTTTCTGGTATTGAATTACTTGTTCCAGCGGTTTCTATAATAGATTGCATGTTTGTATTTCTTATGTTTTTAATGCTACGTTTATCTTCGTCATTTTTGTTTACAATTTTGTTTAATTTTTCCGTTACTTTCTTTGATTCATTCCAAGAATCATCTTTCCACGAAATCATATTGTGCTTCATCTGTGGATCTGTAAAATTTGAAGAATCTTTATTTACATCGTTATCTTTTATACTCTTTTCTTTTGCTTCTGTTTCATTATTAATAGTGTAGGTGGTTTGTAATTTTATATTTTCTTCGTCTTGTATCGTTACTTTTTGTTCAAGTAATTTAGTGTTTTCAAAATCTGAAAACTGAAGAGAATCAACGATATTTTGTTCCAGTATATTGCAAATTTGTGTATCGAAATTTAAACTATCATCGAATAAACTAGGACTTCTCGAAACTGCTAATTTTATACTCTCAACACTAGATAAACGTGTAATTTCATTTACGCAAGGTGATATTTCAGTATTTGCTTCAATGGAGATTCTTATTTTTTTGGTATGTATATTACTTATATCCTGATTGCCTTGGACATTATTAATTGAAGGTTCAATAGTGAAATTTTGCCTACAATTTCTTTTGCTATCATGAACGCGAATTAATGATTCGCTATTTCGTTTCTGTAGAGAATCACATGTTACTTTAGAATTACTATTTTCAAAGACATCTACCGATAGCTTTTCGACTGAAAGATCGAAAGTTTCTGGTAAGTCTATCTGCAGTAATTGATCAGTAAGTTTTATATTATCATCCTTTTGCTCTTGTATCATATTATTTTCTAAGTTACATTTAGAATAACTAGTATTTTCTGTAGTATTTATATCAATTTTGGATTTTTCATTTATATTGGATTTATGATTTAATGTGCTTTCTTCTTTGCTAGTAAAATTAATATCTTTATTCATAGTCTGGTTGTATATTAAATATGGTTTCTTTTTATCTTTTATGACTTTTTCGCTTAAATTCATTTTCCTTTGAATATGATTGCGTGCAGTTTCACTTTCTATTTGTATATCTGTATGTTTCGTAGTCTGAAGCGTATCTTGTTGTATACGTGAATTTATTTCTGTATTAGATACGTTTGTAATGACAGATTGTTCGTTTTGTTTCCACGACATATCTTGCAATCCTAGTTCGTTCTATAATTCAAATATAAAGTTATTAGATCCCAAAATCATTCAAAAACGTTCAACTACATCACTTTTACTTACCCGTACTAATGTTCTGGCTTCATTAACTAACATAATTGCAGCTTCGTGAGGTGTTAAACCGTCTTTTCCAGTGACGAACACTGTCCTCATTTTATTTCGTTTTACCGCTTCCGATTCGTGTTCACCATCTTGTTCTTTTTCGCTAAAATGTAACTCTAATAATATTCCCTTTTGTTGGACCTTACTATAATTTATAAATATATAATACACGAATAAAATGTTACAGTAATATACCTTTCAAAAGGAATTGCTTTATAAAGAGCACGTTCAACATCAAGTTCATTAGCAAGAGCTAAATCTGCTACAGTTGTGATTCCATGTTTATGAAGACTTCTAGCACGTAGTCCATTTAACATTGGAAGACGTAGTAAATCCAATAATTCTCTACAAACACCAAACTGTAATCGTGTCTGAAATTGGGAGACTAGTAATTCCATACAGTCCCAACCCAATTGCTTACAAAATTGCGTCACCATTCCTATGGGCGATTTTAAAATAGAATGATATTATAAAGTAAAATATTCTCTTCTAAAACATAAAAAATATTACCAGCAAATGTAGAAGCAGATTGTTGTAAAGTTTGAAGGACTCCTCGACAACAACCATATTTCTTACAAACTGTATTAAGAGGAACTTCACGAACTAAATCATGTAATGCCAATGCAGTATAAAATCTCTTATGTATATTAAGCTAAAAGTGTAAGTTCGTATTATTTAGTGTACAATATTAATTTGCTAATGCTAATGTAGATTGTTAATGCTAACTATTAATATTTATTATTTAAGAATGAAAACTGTACCAATTTTCCTGGTCGCACAATGCCTTTAATAGTTGATGTTAAAAATCGTTCTTCTACACCAACAAGTTGCCCAACCCTACGTTCGCTTTCTGATAGCAGTTTCCATAATTCAAAATATGTCATCCAATCGATAGCTCCAATTTGATTTCCAGAACTGACTGGTGTCACTAGATATACCACATGTAATTCTGTATCCAAAACAAAGCATCGTCTCGCTTTTTGAAGTTCTTCAAGTAAAAACAAGCCATCCCTAGGTGATATAGAAGCTGCTAAACATGCTTTGCCAAATGCTGTAGCTACCCATCTATGTCCTTCTTCAGTTGTTTGTAAGCTGTACAATATTATGACATGAAGTAAAGAAGTACTATGTAATTAAAAAAAATTTGAAAAAAGAATTTTTATATATTCTTACAATAAAAATTCATTGTCTACTAAAAATTTAATTGCTTCATTCGACGGATCTTTTGAATTGTGTTCATCGCTCAAACTTACTAAAGTACATTTAGTGTACAATTCAAGATCGGACGAAGTATGCATGACCTCGCTAGCTACAGCTTCTAGAAGAGCTCGAATTAAAGGTCCTGAATCATCAAGGCAGGATTCAATTGCTTCCAAAGGAGCTGATAATAATGTTTCAGCTAATTTTTTTTCATTTGGTTTACACATCAGTATACTTTCACCTATAAAAATATAACGTGTTTCATACTTCTCACCACTATCTATTTGTACAAGTAGGTTTAAATAATTTTATTCTATTATTTTATTTTACCTGCAGTATCCTTCCCCATTCTGCCTGACCGTCCTATCATTTGTCGGTATGTAAGACTATCTAACAGTCTGCCATTAAACAGTGGAGATCTAATAATTACCCTTCGAGCTGGCAAATTTACTCCACTACTTAAAGTTGATGTAGCTATAAGAACTCTTAAAGATCCAGATCTAAAATAATTGAACAATTAATTGAAGCTTTTTCTTTAAATATTCCTTTAAATATTCATATAAGATGGAAGGGATATGAAGTATAAACCTGAAAGATCCTTCTATAATATCGCGTTCATCTATAGTAAGACCAGCATGATGAAAAGCTGTCCCAAATGAAACTGTGCTTTTTAGTACACTATCTAAACCTGTAGGACTACGCTTTAATTGCTCTAATGTTTCAGAAATTAATGTAGAATTTAATTGGTGTCTCAAAGTTTTACCTAATTCAGTATCTTCTCGACCTAACGATAATTATAAATTATATTATGATATAGTTATAAACTGAATTCAAAATATATAACTAAAATATACAAACAAACCTATATTACAGAATGCAGCAGCAATTTGTTTAGCTAGCTTTTCACACCAATTCTTTGTTGGACAAAAGATTAAAACGCTATGACCATCAGATATTGTTTCAATACATAGCTGAAGAATATCATCTGAGTCCATAGTTAATTCTGGCATTGGTGTTAAGGTTCTTATAACACTCAATTTGTTATTATATATATTTTTACCTATCTAAAAATATAAGCACTTATATCGGTGATTACAAATAATAAAAATAGCATATTTTCATATCTTTTGACATACCTTGCACTGTTCATTTAAAGGTACTGGTCTAAATTCCGTTTTATATAATTCAGCATCTAGCCACTTAGCTAAAAGGGATAAATTTGGAAGTGTAGCAGACATGCCAATTAATTGTACATTAATATTTTCATCCCTAAAACAAAATTAAAAAAGTATAAATTTCTTATTTTTAATTTATCATGCTATATTATTTATTTAGTGTATTATATTATTTTTAAAGCAAATGGTGATAAATGTATTTCAGTTACCTAGAACGCATGTATTTTAATTTAGTTAAAAGTAATTCAAGAAGATATCCACGATTTGGATCACCAACAAGGTGTAATTCATCTATAATTACAGCTCCAACATTGACTAGTTCATTTTCTTCCATTAAACGATTTACTAATGAATTTGCTTTTTCAATAGTTGCTATTGCAATATGGGTTGCTGCAAATCCTCCAGCAGGTACTACACCACCCATAAATCCTTCTACTCGAATCCCACTATCAGATAATAAATCCTAAAAAATTATAATTAATATATATGCTTAATACATATGCTATTTCTAAATTATTTATCCATATATTTAAATCTTACTTGAAAGTAATACATTTTCTCTCTAACAACAGAGACAAATGGCAAGATAAAAATTACTTTTTTTTGCCTTTCCAATACTGTTTTTATCATGATAATCTCTGCTACTAATGTTTTTCCAGCTGATGTTGGAGCAGAATATACAAGATTAGAATTTTCTTCAATAATTTTATGATTCGATAAGCATTCTATTTGCCAAGCAAACATAGTAGTTATTCCTCGTGCTTCATATTTCTGTAATATATACTTATTAATTTTTAACACAATAAATGAAATAAAAAACTATATAGTTCACATTGAAACTGTAAATGAAAATGTAAATTGTTCAATTATATTACTTGGAGAATGTTTGATGGTAAACCCCAAGAAGCTAATTTGTATCGATCTTGAGTAGGAATAACAGAGATGGAAGGATTTATTTCTGAAGATTTCTCCATATTACTTAGAGGTGCACTACTATTAGATGACTTTATATGGGTTGTATCACTCATTATACCATGTGTAACATTATTTCTTATATCAATATTATCAACATATAAGGCTGCTAATTCAGATTTATTCCATTGTTTCGGCATTGTATTTGCATTTGAAGATATATTGTTTTTTGCATAATCAACATTAATGTCAACATTTTCTTTTTGAATCTCAGGTAAATTATAATTTTTCTTGGAGGAATTAATAGCTTTTCTTTTCGATTTATTCGATGTACTAGTATTGGTAATACGCTTTGACTTTATAACATTATTTGTTTCAAGTTCCGTATATTTAGAATTATTTTCTTTATTAGTAGAACTAATTAAACCTTTCTTTGATCGAGTAACTTTATCAATATCATTTGACTTATTTGCTATCTTAGAAAGAAATTTATTATTTTTCAAATATTTGTCCATGTCACTTTCATTATTAATAATATTCACATTTATTTCAGTCTGCATACAAGCAGATAAAGTCTCATCCCCAAAGGATGGCATTTTATTGAAAGATTGCATTTTGTTATTTTTATATTACTTGAACGTGGTATATTAAAAATAATCACATTCAAGTTTCCACAGACCGTTGCAGTTTATTATTTTATCACTATGATTAAAGATATACGATTTTTTAGCAATTTTTGTATAATTTTCATTCATGATTTTCAAACACACAGTGTTTGTATAATTATTTTATAACTTATTGTTTCAATATGATACAATGAAATAATTTTATTCGTAAATAAAATAATCATATAAATAATTGAAATTCATTATTCAATTCATTATTTAATAAATAATTATTTAAATAAAATTATTATTTATATACAAAATTATTAGTCGTGCACTTTTGGAGAATATGACACAGGTGTTCCATTTTTGAGGTAATATAACCCCTTTGCAGAGAATAATTCGTGTGGTATATAAATAAAAGTAGGAAAATAGTTAGGCACTTTTTTCATCGTACTTTCCTCATTTTGTTTGTTATGAAATTGAATAAAAATCACATGATTAAAAACATTTAAAAGCACACAACGTTAACACATGATCGCACCTGGCGACATTATAATTATTACTGTTTTCTATAAAGATTTTAAATTTTGGTGTCGATCAATTAGATATTATATACTATATAATTTATATATAGTATAACGCATAAATAACGTAATACTATTAATTATCGGTATTTAATACTTATTTCCTTTATTAGAATAAATTGTTTGGATCATGAGATATGACCCTAAAATTTCCCTAGAAATAAGCATAATTTGAATTTAAGTAAGATAAAAATTATATTTTGCATATTTATTTTAAAAAATTTGGAGTATACAATTACATAAATCGCATCGTCAGCATACATTTATTATAATAATTATTATAGTAAACGTTTTCATAAGAAAGCAATTCTAGTATTACGTAAAGGTGAATTCACGAACTAAAAACGATTTATAAATTCAATGCTTTATTATTATATTTTAATTATTCTATAATTAAATTATAATAATCAACGCATGCATTTTTATTAAAATACTTGTTTTTTATTAATATTACATAAGAAATGTTAGGAAAGTATCGTAATTGATGGGCTATGCCCTCTATCGTGAAATTCCTGAACGAATTCCTTGAAATACAATGGATAATGAAAATAGAAATAATACACTAATCGTTTTATTTATTTAATTTAATCGTGTCATATCTTATTTCAACGTAAATACAGAGAAAATAGTTGCTGGTAAATAACGAAGACAGACATAACTAACGAATAACATAAAAATTGATGCTAAATTAATAACTCGTCGCAAGTATTATAAAGACAAGTATAAATAATTGCAAACTTAACTTAAATTATATTTACTTACTATTCGATGACAATATCTATTTTCTAGATATCAAATAAACAATAATAAAGAAACAAATTTGAAATAAAATTTAACGTTACTGACATTTTTTCGCAAACAACGTGTCGTTGTAAAGCTTGGCGAATAAAGTATACGATTAATTAATTGTTCGTAAACATAATCTCACCAAGCATACAACGTCAGCAACAACGATCGTTTCTATTCCAATAATACACAGACACGCGTGATATTTATTTCTAAGGACATTTATGTCACAAAGACACGTACTTGCGACAAATATATCAAACGAGATCAATTATGTAGGCACCGTCTATCCGTCGATTTTAATTTCACAGCCAACGTCAACTATGAAAATAAGATCTATGTCTAAACCCTTCACGCGAGACTTTCTATCAGGAAGTATCAAACGCTTAATCGGTATACATTGGTATATTTATGAAAATTAGCATTTCCACTTCGATCCTGTATCCTAACGTTTTACACGTGGAATTTCCGTATCAATAAATCCACGAAGGTGATTTTACAAATTCATCGATGCAAACTGTCTGTCAGATGATGATAGACAGATAATGATAAAATAGGTGTCCGATCAGACTAACAGACGGTCGTTTACATTTAATAAGCGAAAAGTTGTGACATTGAAAGGCATCGACTCGCATCGAGTCCAGTATCTAGAAATAATTTTCCATCGTGTCCGCTTCGGTTTATTTATTTTTCCTCTCGAATTCATCGCGTAATTAAGTGGCGAATGAAAGCAAGGAAGATACAAGCTTCGTTCTATTAATTAGACGATGTAAAGCAAAATATCCGACCGATACGATCAGATGATCTATCGATAGCGTCAGCAAATAAACGATCGATCGTAACGATAATGACATACCACAGGAATGTTAGTTTCGGTCGCCATTTTATACGTTCAGAGATCCATAGCGACGTTAATATCTCAGAATAAGATGGGCATAAACGTCGCAGATGCAATTGGTAAGAAAATTGAACGCATTTTATTCGAAACATTTTAATTTCGCGATACTTTTAAACGAAACGAGATAAGATGTATTGCGCACCTAATCAGAAACTTAATCGATCATTCGTACGATCAATTTCGAGATAGAAAAATTTGCGAACAGAAGCAATTCGATTCACACCTGTATTTCGTGGAAGTAGTAAAATGTGGATAGGAGGGGGATAAAAATGTGGGGAAATTCGGATAAGAGACATGGCGTGATCTTCGCGTATATAAAATTAGACGAGGATGTTGGAGTATTATCAATAGACAGCAGTGATTTCGACTTTCCGTGTATGCTCAAATGCTACACCGCTATTTTCCCTGTAACGTATTCATAAAGATCGAAACGAGTCAGCATTCTAACGTCACGTTTAACGACGGCACGAATAAAGTTGCATTAATAAAAATCCTCTGATAGACCACTTTGATGTTCAACGACGCATACATATCGCATCCTACATCGCGTAACTAGTCCAACGTTCAAAAGCACCGTTGAAACATACACGTTTCGTATCGCCTCGGATCTCTCGGATCGCGGACGTGTGGACAGAGCTTAAAACGATCGAGATAAAACGGTGTCGCGTTTTCTTAAATTCTCACTCTGCTGAACATTCCGACACACCGAATCCATCTAACGAGCCACGCTGCTCAAAGCCGACTTGTCCCGTAACCGCGAACCAGCGAACGCTCGAGAACGACCACGTCTAACGCGAGTCCGCATGGATCGTTCGATTTCCAAGAATATTCGATCCACTTCGCACAGGTTAACGAGGGGAGGCGCGAACGATGGCCTACACGGCGCTACTAATGCGATGTTCAAACGCATCATTCAAACGCATTCGGTATCGGATAAGATCGCGAGGGGAGTGTGAACGGAGCCTAAACGGCGGAGCAAACGCGTCGGGCGGGCGGACAGGTGGGTAGACAGGCAGACAGACAGAAGCTGGAGCACCTGTCTGTCCCTCCACTCTTCTGTACGGCAAAGGGGGGCCGGCACTGGATACCTCGTGCCGTGGTTCAGTACCTCGTGCACGCTCACGCTGATAAGACCTTATTCTAATCACACGTCACCTGGCGTCGATAGTCGTGCGCGGACCTTTTACGCGATTTCTCACGCACCGTCTGTCGCAATTCCTTCGACTTTGGCCTTTCGACCAACGTGTCCGCACGCATTTCGCCCTGTCTCATCACTCTCCTCTCTCTCTCTCTCTCTCTCTCTCTCTCTCTCTCTCTCGCCCTCTCCCTATCTCTTTCGCTCGCCCTCCTTCTCTCTCGCTCTGTCTCGCTTTCTTTTTCTCCTTCTTTCCACTACTACTACTACTACTATTACTAATATTACTACTACTACTACTACTACTACTACTACTCGGTTTCGCGTGCATCAAATTGACGCAGCTGGTGGCACCTTCATGCAGCGGATCGCGCGGCCCGATCCAGGAATTTTTCCGGATCTCTGGATCGGTCAATCGAACACGTCAGCTCGCCCCTAGCTCCGTTTCTTGCTCCGTCGAACGCATACGTAATTACCTCCGGCTCGCGCGATTATATCCGCGCGATACAGCCGATAGTCACGTACGATTTGTACGTATCACGGCCGTATACGTGCTCATCGGACTCAGCCACGGGATGCACCACGAGAGAAATGCACCACGCACGTTCCGCGCCTCGATATCCGATTCGATATGTCGGCGAAGGTACACCGCGAGAGGATCGCGTGGCTGGTCTTCGATTTCCGTTCTTTAGCTCGCGTTCCCAGCTACGTACCGCCGCGGCCCGTTTCCGCGGCAATGGATCGGGAATCGATTCCGTTCCCCGTATCGTTTAGTCCGCTTCCGACGTTCGGATACTAACGTTGCTGGCGCTCGGTCTGTCGCGCGCGCGTGCTCACGTCCTATGCTTGCCGATCGGCCACGTGTTCTCATGCCTGTGCCACGGGAGAGAGAGTGAGAGAGAACTACGGATCTTGGATCAAACGAACGGTGTGCTACGTCGCCTGCCACCACGTGCATATGTGACACTGATAGACGTCATCGTGGAAGGCTGTTGCACCCGCCAGTCGAAGGTCGAGTATC